CCGACATAAATGGATGGATATCCGGTTATGTTAATGCGGGTAAATGGATAATGGATTTATCCGGATTGAAACTCTATCTCTGGCATACTTAATGGTAACATTGAACGAAGATTTAAAAGCAGTATGTCAGAGGATATGATGCATATGCCCTTAGACCTTTTAATAATGAGTGTCCTTGAGTGCTTTCAAGGAGCATCTTGGTGACAACCTACCGATCAATCTTGATCGGAATAGGTCTGATCCAGGATCAACAAAGGGATATGGACGGCCTGACTTCCTTTGTTGGGTTAAGGATGCTCTTCTTATTAAGGGTGAAGAGAAAGCGGATATTGGCCAGTTGGATATTGCTACGAGAGAACTCATCAGCAAACTTAATGTCATTGATCCACAAAAATTCGGTGACATTAAGTTTATGATAGGTTACGCTGCAGCAGGTTCATTGGTGCAATTTTAAGCTATTGATGGGCCATTGAAGAGGCTAATTCCACTATCAAATCAACTTAATATTAAATGGGTTCAAGATCGAATTAGCCCCATTTGTATTACCATCAACATTGCAAGGGTGATAATATCTATAAAGGATATTATTCCTGATTATTTATCAAACAAAAGAAAAAAACACAAAAAATAGATAATGTAATAGTTATGTTGTAATGGATAAAATTTAGCTTTTTTATTTTTGTAAATAAAATCTTTCTTTTTCTCGGTAAATTCTCCACATGTACAGTACATAATTTATTAGTAACTAGTACATGATCATTTGGCGGCTTCGCCGCCTAGTTTTGTTTAATTAAATCAATCAAGTAATTTTTTAACCTAGCAAACTAAGCTGATTTATGTGCTAGTTATTGATAATGCCAGTGCGATCATATGAATGCGTAATATGAAATGTGTTAGGGATGGTTTCCGTTCAACTTTTTTGATGTTCCCTATGCTGATTTTTGAAAAATCCTTTTTTAGTATAAGTAACGGTTTTCATTTATCCAAATCTAGTAGGAATTAAGATAATACGTACTGACATGGTGTATTCACATGACATCATGCTGGTGTGGGAAAATATGAGCGTGTGAGATTTTATTTAAAACGCTGATGCTATCGGTTATATCGGTCAATCAGCCGCTCTGACCGGTTACGGTTAAAACTGTAACCGGACTAATCCTTATTCTGGAGCAAAATATTAGATAATCTTAGTAATTAAAAAACGGATAATCAATGTTTAATAACTTTTAATTATTATCAATATCGTTGATGAGATGTTCTTGACAAAAAAAAATTAATTTTTTTATAATGAGTAGCTTGTCATCGAATTGCGAAATCCGATAACTTTATGGATCACATGATTAGATTGGCCTTTTATGAACTGTAATGGTTTGCTGTGTGTTCTCGTTAGATTAGGTTGTTCTTGGTTAAGTTTATGATTGTTAAGTGGCGAACAGATATAAATGTTAACAAATTAATGCTAAAGTAACGGTGTATTTTCATATGGCATCAGGAGTGAATCAGATCAGTGGGACGGATGGAGAGAGATGTAATCAGTGTTGGGCTTACTTATAAGTCCAGTAAAATTGAACTGAAACTGGATTTAGTTCATAGGAAGAAGTTCGTCTGATTGGCTGATGTAAATCAATTGCCCGGGTAACTTATTTATATGTTTTAAAGTAC